TTTTCTTTGGAAGCCTTTTTGAACATTCCTACCAAATCTTCTACAATGCAAACAACATCATTAAGAGTTAAAGGATCATTGGGAGAAGGTTCTTGATCACTTACCTCTTTTGATGTATCACCATCTTCAATGGCCATGAGACATAAGTTGGCCACTTCCTCCGTTTCTGAGTCTTCACTCCCGGAGCCGTCGTTCTCCCAAGAGATGTAGGCACTTTGCTTCTTCGGTGCCCTCTTGTCCTTCTCGTTCTTGAGCTTCGGACACATTGGTTTGATGTGTCCAATTTCACCACACCCATAGCATTTGGGTGGAGTGTTCTTCTTGGCTCCCTTCTTGAGCATCATCTTCTTGAATTTTCGGACAAAGAGTCCGAGGTCGTTGTCGTCGCTGTCATCATCTTCATCATCAACGTTGTTGTGGGTTGATGTTGTTGCAGGTAGAGCAATAGACCTCTTGTTCCTCTCTTCAACCACCTTTGAGAGTTGGGTGGTTTCGTAGGTAATAAGATTACCTCGAAGAGCATCATAGGTCGTTGCTTGGAAGTCACGACCTTCTTCGATTGCGTCCACCTTTGAACGCCATTTGGGGGATAGGCTTCGCAGCACCTTTCTCACGAGCTCTCGGTTGGTGTATGTTTTCCCGAGAAGATTGAGAGGATTGATGATGTTAGAGAATCTCTCAAACATTTCTTCAATCTTCTCATTTTCCTTCATTGAAAAGAGTTCATACTCGTGAGTGAGATGGTCGATTTTGGCCTCCCGAACCTGCGCGGTTCCTTCGTAGGTGACCTTCAATTTCTCCCACATTTGTTTTGCGGTTTCACACCGCGAGATTTTGCGGTAGTCATCCGCGTTGACACCGCAATAAATCATGTTTATTGCCTTTGCGTTGAGCTCCATCTTTTTGCAATCTTCGTCGGTGAACTCCTCTTCGGTTTTGGGAACGTTGACTTCACCGACTTTCTTCATCGGGACTCCGCAGCCGTTCTTCACAATCAACCACAGCTTGTAGTCGTTGGATTGGATAAAGATTCTCATCCTCTCCTTCCAATACGAGTAGTTTGTTCCATCGAACAAAGGTGGCCTCGTGGTTGATTGTCCCTCGGTCACTCCTGCGTTGAACATCCTTGATGCCATTTGATCTTTTAGTTCCTGAAAAATAACGTATTCGAAGAACTTCCTGCTCTGATACCAATTATTAGACAAATGTGCAACTCTAGATGGGGGGTGAATAGAGTTCTTTTCAAGAATGTGCGTTTTTCGCGTGTGTGA